CAGAGAAACCCTGTCTCACAACAAAACAAAACAACGTGTGTGTGTGTGTGTGTGTGTGTGTGTGTGTGTGTGTGTGTGTGTGTGTGTGTATGTGTATGTGTATACAGGTCATGTATGTATGTGTATATGAACTGATTGATTGACAAAGCATTGTGCCTGGAGTCTTGTATGTCTTCTAGGCACAGATGTTCAATATTTGCCAATTTGGGGTGGTCAGAAACTTCATAGGTGGGCAATACTGAGCACACTGTTTAGCATTGCACAGTCTGAAAGACTAGAAAGGAGTTAACTGGCAAATGAATATGACATGCTATTCTGAGTCACAGTGACAAGACTACCAAAAGATAATGATTTATTATTCTATAGTCATTAAACACATTATGCCTCCTTAGAACATTTTGTTTATTCTAGAACAGTCAAGGCCATTCTATAAATAAGTGATGACCACAGCATTGTTAGATGTGGCTCATATGTACAATGATGCTACTGCCCAAGCTCTCAGTACCACAATCCATCCGAGCTCTCGGAAGCAACTCAAAAAGTCTATTTTTGCCACTCACTTTTTTAAGATAGAAAAGATGTACTTTTAAAATCAACGTGGTGTGAGTGCTGGCACAGTGCCAGAACCCAGGAGGCAGAAGTAAGAAGGCTGGGAGTTTGAGGCCAGCATGAGCTACATAACCCTATCTCAAAACACCCAAGCACCAAACTGAACAAAACCTAAAATAGAGTCTCACACATAACATGTGGCACACAGGTAGCTTTCTTAAACCAAAGAAGCATGGGGTGGAGGGAAGCCATGAAATTAGTAATTACTTTCTTTTTTGAGGAAAACAGATATTTACTATTGAATACCACAGTGTTCTGAGTTTATCTGCAATGAGTTATCAGTCCTCCCAAACAACTCATTAAATCACTCAAAAATAAATTCCTTTGTAGTGTGGAGTGTAAAGTTTCCATAAGCTAAGCGTTCCTTGGAAAACAATGGGGGGGTTGAGCCCAGCTCTCTCTCTCTCTCTCTCTCTCTCTCTCTCTCTCTCTCTCTCTCTCTCTCTCTCTCTCTCTCTCTCTCTCTCTCTCTCTCTCTCTCTCTCTCCTCCCCCCAACTGTGTGTGTGTGTGTGTGTGTTCTTGAGTGTACATGTGTGCATGGTGGCCAATAGTCTTTATTAGGTGTCTTTCTCAATCAATCATTCCCCCATCTTATTTATTTGAGACAGCGTCTCATTATATAACCCTACGTACTCGTTATGTAGACCAGGTTAGACTTGAACTCACAGATGTTTGCTTGAGTGCTGGGGCTAACAACACACCACCACTGCCTGGCTCCTTCCTTCCTTCCTTCCTTCCTCCTACCCTCCTTCCCACTTTCTTTCTTTCTTCTTCCTTCATTCATTTATTTTGAGTCAGGATTTCTCTGTGGAGCCCTGGCTGTCCTGGAACGCTTAGACCAGGGTGAACTCAGAAACATGCCTGCCTTTGTTTCCTGAGTGCTTGATATCCTCTTTAAAAAAAATAGCCCAATAGCCCATCCAAGTCTGATTTGTGCAGCCCATATATTCTTGGACATGGGACCATCCCCTGGAGCTTTCGTCCTACAGGGGCCACACACTTAAAGAAAGCTGGCTGTCCTTCTCAGAAGCCATCAGCTGTCAGTAGCTCCTCAGCTCGGGGTGGGGTTCGTGCACCTCTTCCTATTGCATGCTGGGATGGTGACCGAGTTGATCTTGTGCAGGTCTTGTGCAGGCAGCCACAACTGCTGTGGGATCGTGGGTGCAGGGGTCCTGTCACATTCAGAGGAAACGGTTTTGCTCTGGCTTTCATCGGCCTCTGACTCTCAGAATCTTTCTGTCCCCTCTTCTGAGATAGGTGACAAGCATCTTGTGTCATGACCAACAAGTAAATGAAGAAATTGATTTAAAAAAATTTTTTGAGGTGCTATGGGAGGAGCCCAGGGCCTTGTGCCTGCTATGGAAGTATTCTACCACTGATCGAGACTCCTGGGCAAGAATGGGTTTTGCAAAGCTGTTTCATATTTGATTTTTGGGGCTGCGAATGCTACTGGTGGTTTGTTTCACTTGCGTGAGGCTCGACCTCACTACTACAAAAGAAAATTCATTTTAGCTTTTTGCTCCGGGTTACTACGGGGTAATTTTATCTTAAATTCGAGAGAAATTCAAATTCCATCATGCTGTTGCAGTCAACTGGGTTTTGGGCACTCAGGGTCATTTGACAGAGAGTGCTAGAATTCAACCTTGCAATATTCTGCCCACTATATTTATATTATTGCTTCTGCAGAAGACCTGCCAGTTGATTTGTTTCTTAATGTGCTTATACCCTCCCTCTATCCAAAGCTCTGTTTCTTGTGAAAGGGTCCTTTGGCTCCTGAGTTTGTGGCATCCTCTTGTTTGACTGAGAGAGAAAAGAAGCTGGCCCTCGGTGATCTATTGAGTGCTGAGTTTTCTTCTGTCTTGTTGGAGAAGTCCTATGCCAAGTGTTCCGGGCCTCTGTCTAAGAAGCCTGAATGATAAATATTAGCTTACTTGTTGACTGTATGCACAGTCACTCCCTTTAGTGCACACACATTTTCTGACAAGACCAGGGCAGTTTGGGCTTCCTCATGGAAACCAGTAGGTTTTCCGCAACGCTTGGCACGTAACAGAGCCCCCAGTAGTCAGCTGTGGTGCCACAAACCCATAATCCCAGTGATGGGAGCTGAAGTTGTGAGTTCAAGGAAAACCGGAGCTGCCCAGTCAGACTCGATCTCAAAAACCAAATCAAGCAAGCAAAAACACTGGGGAACAACTGGTGCTCAGAATACGATGAACCTACTGAGAAGCATCATTGTTCTGCTGATTAAATATAGTTGTCTCTTGCGGTCTGTGGGATTGCTACCTCTACCCTGTGGTTGCTAAAATCTTTGAGTGCTTAAGACCCCTATGTAAGATGGCATAGCATATGCCTCTACTCTCAGTTCCTGTTCCTATATGCTTCAGCTAGCTCTGTATTACTTATGCTATGCAATGTGATCTACTTATGTAAATCTACGTGTGAGGGCACGCTTGAGAGTGCTTGCACGCACACACACACACACAATTTAAAAAAATGTTGGGGCTGGAGAGCTGGCTCCAAGATTAAGAGTAGAGGACCTGAGTGCGGCTCCTGGCACCCACATCTCAAGGTTCCCTGTGGCCTGTAACTCCAGCTCCAGAGGCTCTGACACCTTCATGACTTGCTCCCGAAGCTACTTGCACTCAATGTGCAGAAATCTAAACAAACACATGCACACATAAGTATATCCATACAAATTAATTCTTAATTTTTTTAAAGAAAGGAAGTTGTGGATGGACATAATTGTGAGTTGCCTCCTATTTTTCCCTTTACTCAGTCTCTACTTCTTAGACTCCTATGTCTTCACCACGACGCTCAATGGACAAGATGGAGGCTAGAACAGGAGTGACAAAGAAGCCCCCACAGAAAGGCTTAGATCTGGTTACACAGGACAGCCTTTTATCTCTGTTATTTCTCCCCCAGCATGGTTCTTTTGAAGGCTGGGATGACTTCAGTCCATCATTTGCACTTCGGAAAGTTCATGAACAGATTGTGTCCTCACATGGTACGATTCTCTACTTTGGGAATTTTCTTTCTCCAATTTGCAAATCAAAAGACCCAACAAAGCCATCAAAGCAAAGCATATGAGAAACAAAACAACCAGCAGTTATATCAAAACATAGCCATGCTTCCATGTGCCTCAAAGTCAACAGTGTCCTGTTAAGGTCACAGGTACTGCTCGGAGTCTAGGCAGCCTGCCAACCAAGGCTTGTAGGAACAGCTCCATCTACACCCCCCCTGGTGCTTGTATGTAGCCCAGGCTAGCCTCTTGAGGTGATTCTGCTGCCCCAGCTTCCCAAGTGGATCACCACACCCTGCTGCAGCTGACCTCATCTCACACTCTTCTGTGTGGTTATTTCAAGCTAAAAAGGAACTGGCAGAGTCTCCTGTAACTTTCGGATAGGCAAAAATCGTGAATGAAGGAGAAGGGAAAGATAGAAAGGAGGGGGGGAGGGAGGGAGGGAGGAAAGTACCAGCAGTGTCTGAACTATGCAGAGCAAAGACAAGACACTAGTATAATAGCCTTTAAAAAATGTCCGCCGTGTGTGTGTGTGTGTGTGTGTGTGTGTGTGTGTAGGCCAGAGATTGATGTTGTGTTTCCTCTAGTCAATTGCTGTCTTAATATTTGTGAGACAGGATCTATCAGTGAGTCTCCAGCCTCAGGGAATCCTCCTGTCTCCATCTCCCTAGCGCTGGGATTACAGGTCTGTGACACCCTGTCTCTCTTTTTGTGTGAGTGCCTGGAGATCCGAACTCACATCTTCATGTTTGCACTTTTTTTTTTTTTTAATGCGCTGAACCATCTGCCTTTAATACTGACAGAAAGAGAACAGTTCCAGCAGGACATTATCTCTCAAACACTAGAGTAGCACGTGACAGTTTGCTGCTGCAGGGAGACCAGCTGCGGAGGCCACTGTCCGGCTACAGCCCGAAACTTTTTGAAAAGTTCAAGGCGCGCACTGGCTGCACGGGGGAGAGCTGGCGCGCGCCTCTCACCCAAGTCCTAAAAGGTTGTTAGGGAGGTGGTTATGTGTCCTCAGAGGAAGAAATCCAAGCCGAGCCCCCTGCCTTGGTCCCCCGGGAGAACTGATGGAGTTGTCCTGGGCTCTTTGCCGGAGGGAGGCCCCGAGGGTCTGGGTTGGGACAGTCCAATACTCGCTGCACTTCCGGAGGGCCTGGGGGCGCCTGGCTTGGAAGGTGAGAGGTGGAGCTGCTGGCGGCTGGGAAGGGACCAAAGGAATAAGTAATTGGAAATTCTGTAGCCGAGAACCCTGTGCCTAACCCTTTGGCTCCCCCCCCCCAACCCCCTGCGGAGAGTCGAAGGGCCGAGACACGGTGCAGGGAAGAGTCACGTTTCTGAGAGGGAAGTGAAATAAAGAGGGCGGCACCCGGGGGGGACCTGTGCGTCATTGAGGGACCGCGGAGCGGCCAGTGCGAAGGCGTGGGGGCTAGGAGCCGGAGGGGCTGCCGAGCGCCTGAGCCCGCTGCCGGTTCAACTGCCCCGCAGCCTGCAAACTAATAGGGCGCAAGATGTGGCAGGCGACCCCGCCCCAACCCCGCGCGCCCTGCCGCTGGGCGCCGGCCCTGCTGACCCTGCTGGCCCTGCTGGCCCTGGGCGGCGTGGGGCTGTGCCACGCGAGCTCGCAGCCTGGGTACCACGCGCGGCCCAGCGCCAGGAGCAAGTAAGTGCGCGCCCCTTTTACTCGCCTCCAGACCCAGAGTCCCGCGCGTCCCTACGGGTCCCTTCCGAATCCGCTTGCAGGCTTTGGAGCTGCCCTGCCAATGGCGACCGGCAGCAGCAGAGAGATCTCTATGGGTTTGGGGGGCATCACCATCCCGAGATGACCATGTACTCCCCACCGGGAGCCTGGAGCATCCTGAAGCGGACCCGGGCAGCGGGGTAGTGTCCTGCTGAACGCCAGCACTTCCTGGACTCCGCAGGGTGTGGGGGGCTCTTCTTTGATACTCCGAAGACTCGAGGCACCCTGGGGTGGCGGCTTTGGCATGCTCCTGCCTTCGGAGCTGGTGACCCTCAACTTGCTGGGTCAGCTCCTCCGTCCATCTGTCCATCTGTCTGTCCCTTTGACCGTCGCACCCACACCCCAGTGCCTCATTGTTCTCCAAGTTTACGCAGCCCTTCTCTCTTAACTCCAGGAACTGGTGCGCCTACATCGTGAATAAGAACGTGAGCTGCACAGTACAGGAAGGAAGCGAGAGTTTTATACAGGCTCAGTACAACTGTCCCTGGAACCAGATGCCCTGTCCATCTGCTCTGGTGTAAGTCCTGGAGTGCGCGCGGGCCAAAGGGGTGGGTGAGTTGGGGAGCTGGGCTCCAGCCCTTGTAGAAATTTCTTCCAGAACCTCTAAAAATCCATGCAAAGTCTGAGAGCTGTGCCAGTTACCAGCCACGCTGGGCCATTTTAGAGGGTACTGTTTTGTGTGAAACTTGAAGATGCGCAAAATTTGGGGGTTTGTGATTCTCCAGGCCAAAGGAGAGGATGAACAAAGCCTCCTCCCCCATCTCTCTCTCTCTCTCTCTCTCTCTCTCTCTCTCTCTCTCTCTCTCTCTCTCTCTCTCTCTCTCTCTCTCTCTCAATTTTATTACTAACGTAAGGCAGCTGAACCTAATTAGATCCATATTGTATGTTCTGGGACGCATGAAGGATCCTAAAATGTTTTAGATGAAAGATTAGCGGAAAGGTTTCGACTGTTTGGTATCTCTGACGTAGGTGAGTTTTGTCCCAACTGCATAACAGTTTTCTAAACTAAACCCCACCCTGACAGGTCCTCGAGTTAGATTTGTGGATTTACTAGGTAGATCTCAGAATAGAACGGTCTTGAAGACAAGAGCAAGAGTCAACCATCTCTTTGCTTATAAAGATTACAAAAGAAAAGAAGAAGAAGAAGAGAGGGGAAATGATTTATTAGTGCACGGATTCCGCAAACACATTTGTAAGCATCCAACTGTGATTAGAACGGTCTTTGAGGTTTTTTTTTTTTTTGTGGAAAGGTCTTTGAGCTTTTTTTTTTTTTTTTTGTGGAAGTGGGACCTCAGGAGATGTGGATAAAAGGCTGCTGGGGACACGTGATGGCAGGGATTGTTTCCAGTAAGAATAAGTTGTTTGTCTTAGTGCACATTGTCAGTGCTTCACTGAGAGGCCAGTGGCCGGCAGCTCTGCCTCTGGCCAGTCTCAGGACAGGCTGAGCTTGTATTCCAGCAAGCTGCTTCAGGGGGCAGGGGATGGACGAGACTGAAGACACGTAGGGAGGAGGTGGTCACTGCGGAGCCGCAGGGCAGGGTCAGAGAGCTCCTGGGAGGCAAAAAGAAACCTGTACACACTTGAGGAAATATGGACAGGGCTCTTTAGAGAGAGTCAGAGACCCTGGCCATCACAGCTCATGGCCAGCTGCTGGTGACAGGAGGACCAAGTGAGGTTTCTACACTGTTTTTACACACACTGAATATGCAACACAATTTGGAAGAATTTGCTTGAAATTAGAATTGAGTTGTCAGCCAGGACAATTTCATTCATTCTATAAAAAAAAAACCTATATGTTGTGTTTTTTCTATAATGTTAATTCTTACTATGACAATTCAGGGGTTAGACACTTTTTTCATTAAAAGTAAAACTTAAAGGGAGATGAGGGGAGACAGCTTGGTGGGTGAAGAGTGCTTGCTGTGAAAGCTTGAGGAGCTGAGCTTGAAATCCCAGCATCCAAGTAAAAAGCTGGGGATGGCCGGGCGTTGGTGGCTCACGCCTTTAATCCCAGCACTCAGGAGGCAGAGGCAGGGGGATCTCTGTGAGTTTGAGGCCGGGCTGGACCGACAGCCTCCAAAACAATACAGAGAAACCCTGTCTCGTTAAAACCAAAAAAAAAAAAAAAAAAAAAAAAAAAGCTGGGGATGGTGACTTTGGCCAGATCAGCCCAGTGCTGTGGAGGGTTGGCGAGGGTAGGATGGCTACTTCCTGCTGGCTGCCAGCCTAGCTCCAGGCTCAGTGAGAGATCTCAGTCTCAAGAGAGTAAGTTGGAGAGTGGTAGTCGGATGTCTGACATCTCTGTCTTCATAAACACCTGCATCTGCACACATGTGCACACATACTGAAGACACCTGCGCGCGCGCGCACACACACACACACACACGGAACACACCTGCAACACACTGAGCACCCCTGCACAGACGCATGCATACATATGTAGAAATTTACATTTCTGCAGGTAATTTTTTTTTTACTATGTAACCCTGACTGACCTCAAAACCCCTCTGTTTCTAAAGGTGCTGAGGTTAAAGTCATGTGCCACTATACTCAGTGGTAACTGTGATTTTGTTTGTTTGTTTTTTAATTTGGCTTTTTGAAGCAAGCTTTGCTATGTTGCTATGTAGAAACTCACTATGTAGCCCAGGCTGGCCTTGAACTCAAGGTTATCCTGTCTCGGCTTCTAGAGTGCCGGGAATAGAGATATGAGGCACTACTCTCAGCTTTTCTTTTTGTTTAAAAGATCATTTGGGACTGGGAATATAGTTCAGTTGGTAGAGAGCTTGCTTGGCATGCACACAACTTTGGGCTCATCCCCCAGCCCTGCAGACACCAGCTGGGATGACATACACACTCCTGTACTCCTCAGATCTGGGACTTCTGTGGTCCTAGGCTGGCTTTGGAAATACAGTTTGGAAGACAGGAGAATCTGAGTGACTTGGAATTCTTCCTGTGGGGTACGGGCAGCTGAAGTCTCTGGAGCTGAGGTTGACTCACGGGCTCTGTGTTTTCTATTTTTGTAGCAATCCCCCAGAGCCATTAGAAAGTGGAGAACCTACATCCAAGCCCAGGTCTTTTCTTTCACAGCCTCAGCCTCCTCCCACCCCCTCAACTCCACAGTCCCTGTTGTCTAGCCCCACCCCACCCCTGTGTGCATTGTTGTGTGTGTGTTGTTGGCCCCTCTGGTAGGTAGGAATGGAGAAGGAAGGGCCTGCTGGGTATTGCAACCCCTCCTGCTTGTGCCATGTTTGATTGGCTGCTGGGAAAAAATGACTGTATTTCTTCTTTGGATGGGACTAGACATCCCATCATTTTCATGCTTCATGGGAGTGATGCCAGATAGTTCCCAGAGCCTCCTGCTGGACCAACAGCTGTTAGCCTTTGCGGCGTCCTGTCCATGGAGCAGCTCTGGTATTGGCCAGGATGTTCAAGGAGCAAGAAGCATGGATTTGCTTTGCTTCCCAACCCAGAGCTCAGGCTTTCCAGTATGGGGTGGGGGGTTTCTGCTTTGCCACACCATCAAGAGACTGGGGTCATCTGCACCTAACCCTGCCCTTACCCTTCTGGCCAGCCTTGTTTGTATTCCTTAGATTCTTTTTCCCCCTTTCATTTCCTTGCCCTTTGTACTTAGAGTATTATTCACATACGGCAACAGTCACCATGGGAAGTGCTCCATCCGCGTGTTATGGCAGGTGAATACAACTGTGTAGTTGCCACTGTAGCTAAAAAGATGAAACAGCTCCTGTACCCATCACCCGGCCAAACTCCTGCTAATGAGTGTGCTTTCTGTCGCCTCCTATTGCCTATTCAGAAGGTGACATAAATGGAACCTTTTGACACTAGCTGCTTTCTTTCACTTTGTGGTGTGTGTGTGTGTGTGTGTGTGTGTGTGTCTGTCCATCTGTCCGTCCATCTGTCTTACTTTTGGTGTGTTGAGCCGGGGTAGCCTTGAACTCTCAATTCTCCTGTCCCAGCATCCTCGGTGGTGGGGCAGCAGGTGTGCACCACCATGCCTAGCTCACTTTCTTTGAGATGCGATCTCAGTGTGTTGCCCAGGCAGAAAGCTTAGACTCAATTCCGTTCCCTTCCTCCTCAGCTTCTTTCGTAGCTGGGGCTACTGGCATAGCAGTACACCTGGCTTGTTGAGACATTTGAGATTCATATCTGTCATTTGTAGATGTTGCCCTTTTCCATCCGTTAGAGGTTTGCATACCGTTTTCTGCAAGGGCTGGGAGGGTAGACACTTAGGGTGATGTGAGACAGGCAACCTCTGTTCAAGTGCACTGTTAGGAAAAGCATCGAAACTGTGTGGCTGCTGATAGGCTCCACGGGCCCTAGACCACCTGGGGACTGTCTGTGTTGCTTCTGTTGGAGTTGTTGTGAATGAAGCCTCAGACGCAGTTATCCTTGGGAAACTGTCTCATTGCATCTCTCTGGGCCTATGGTCTAGTTCTCCCCTGTCAGTTGTGATATGGACATTCGAACTTTGACTTTTGAGATCGTGCATAGCTCTGATGGCCTTTGTGTTGGTGTTACAAACCTGAATCAAACCTACTTACTGTCAGTCACATCTGTTCTGGGGGAAGATTGTGGCAGAGAGCACGCCTTTGCACTCAGGGTCCAGAGCCTGGGTGGGTATCATAGCAAAGACAGCACACACAGATGCTAGAACCAAGCCAGGAATGGTGGTGCGTTTGGAGGGTGGAGACAGGAGGTTCAGAAGTTCAAGACCATCATCCATTGGTATTTGAGACCAGGTTGGGCTCTGAGATCCCCACGTTAAAAGTACAAAGACAATCTGGACAAATGGCCTCAAGCAGTGACAAGCACTGTTGCAGAGGACCCCACCTTAGTTCTCAGCCTGTGTTGGGTGGCTCACAAGCATCTGAAACTAGAGGCTCTTGGGGCCTCTGTCACTCTCTTCTGACCTCCAAGGACAACTGCACTCACCTGTATATACCTCCACATGAATAACATGCATATGCATAATTTAAATGACAAAAACTAACTAAAGAAACAAAAACAAAAGCAAGATGGCCCTCTAAACATTACAGCTTCATCACTGAGATTTCTGGTCTCCATGCTGCCCACTCCAGAGCCCAGCGTTTCACCACATAAGACCTCATATTAGGGAGGACCAATTAGAGAGGATCAAGGATGACAAGCAGGTGAGACCATGGATCTAAGGCAGTGGTTCTCAACCTTCAGAATGCTGCAACCCTTTAATATAGTTCCTCATGTCCTGATGACTCCCCAACCATACATTTTATTTTTGTTTCTATTTCATAACTGATTTTGCTACTGTTATGAATCGTAATGTAAACATCTGCATTTCCCAGTGTCTTTAGGCGATCCCCGTGATAATCTAAGGACTCTGATTCCAGGGCACAGCCTTAGTCAGTGCTCCTCTGCCCAGCTTTCTGGCCAGTCTGGCCTCAAAGGAGGATACAGTGACACGCAGTACCTTCTCACTCTGCCTACAAGTACGGCCGTCAGTGTTTCCCGGTAAGGGAAATTAAG